GGGGGGGAAAGGACGATGGCACGATGAGATGATCTCAATGAGATGCACGCACACATGCGGCACGTTGCGGGCGAGTGAGTGCGGCATGGCTAAGATAGCGGAGACTGCGGGCGGAGGCGAGGAGAACGTAGCACGCGCTGGGCTCACACCGCCGTGGGACTAGCACTAGTGGCGGGAGCAGTGGCTCTGATTCTGTTCATTCACGGCGAGACCGACGGCGACGCCAGATCGGCGTCGCAGCCTGCTTAGCATTGCGTAGCATACTGCTGCTGAAATCCTCGAGTCCTCCTGCTGAGCATCCTCCCTCTGAACGCCATGCCATCCGCCCCTACCTCATCCTCGATCACCTCCTGCGACGGCGCCATCCTGGGCCATGGGCCCCATCCCTAGACGCCGCCGTGCGTGCCAGGCAGTGGCGGCCCAACGGCCCGCCCACTTTGGCCCGCAACTCACGGCACGCCCGTGCTGCCATCATTATCCCCTGGCGGGTACCACGACGAGTCTTCGGTCTTCCAGTTCCAAAAGTACACGCACAGGAAATCATCTGAATAATATGTCATCCAACCGTCAGCCATCTGCTCATGGGTCAAGAAAGCATAGTGGGCCCACTTGGCACCGTACACTTCCTCGACGGCCGGCCGTATATGCAGCGCGTGCAGCACCTGGGGAGGCGAGCGACGCGACAGAACAAGACGGATCACCAGGCAGCTGGACAGGGCGAGCGGGACCAGCGAGGGGGGAGGGGGGGGGCGAGCGAGAGGGTGAGCGAGCAGGCGAGAGAAGTCGAGAGAGCGCGGAGGCAACGAGCAACGAGAGACGGCGAGAGAGGGCGAGGGGGAGCGCCCGTAAGAAGGTGGGAGAGAGTGCAAGCAAGAGGGCGAGAGAGAGAGAGAGAGAGAGCGCGAGCGAGAGGGTGCGAGAGGACGCGAAGGGTGTGCCCGAGCAAGGGGGCGACGGTAGACGGGCGGAAGCGTGCGAAGGCCCCAGGGGCATCGCAGGAGAGCGAGAGGGCGATGGCCCAGGAAGCCCACGCGGGAGGGGCCTGGACGCAACGAGAGAGAGCTGTCCAAGACATCGGAGGGCGTGGAGGGGTGGGGCGCCGCACTCGGGCGGAGGCGTGGTGAGAGGCAGAGGGCACGGTGGATGCGACAGGGGCGGGGGGGGCGGGGTGGGGGGCACTGGGCGAGACGCTAGCGGAGAGAAAGCACCTCGGGCATCGGGCGGTCGTCGAGCATCTCCTCTGCAGCGCCGCCGGCGGCTCTGTCGCCAGGGCCCCCGCTGCGGGCGGCCGCGGCGGCCTCGCCAGACTCGCCGTCGCCCTCGCCACCGCCGCCGCCGACGCGTCGTCAGCACCGCCAGTGACGTGCCCCCGCCGCCGCCGCCGCTGCATCGCCGACATCATCATGGTCGCCAGCATCGCCGACGTCAGCACCGCCGCCGCCGACCCATCGCCGATCTCACCCTGGTCGCCATCAGCGCCGACGTCAGCACCGCCGCCGACGCATCGCCGATGTCACACATGCCGCTAGCATCGCCGACGACGTCACCCACCAACGACGACGGCGTCGGCACTGCCCCGCCTGCGACGGGCGGATCGTGACCCAGGCGCCGCTCTTCGCTGGCGGTGGGCTGAGCGTCGGCGGATTGCCAAACGTCGGCGGCGGCTCTGCGGTGCCAGCATCGGCAGGCTCCGCGGCATCCCAGGGCAGCGGCGGCGGTGGCCGCTTCGCAGCGGGGCCAGTCAAGACCCGCTCGACCTTCGGGCGCGGCTTCGCCAGGTGGGCGAACTGCGGCGGGGGCGGCTTGCGAATGAGCAGCGGCGGGCCATCGTGCTCGCGCTGGGGCGGGGGCGGCTCGCCAGCAGCTGGGCCCGCCAAGGCCTCGGGCGCCATCGGCTCCCAGGAGCTCGCCGCCCCCGCGCCCGCAGCGTACTTGGCGGGGGGCGGCTTGACGGCGGGGGCAGCCTTCTTCGGCCGCGGCGGCGGCGGGCCGCCGCTCCAGGGGTCTGTGCCGTCAGGCGAGGTCGCCGTGGCCGCGGCGTCCTGAGGCGGCTGCTGCTGCTGCTGGGGAGGCGTCACCAGTGTTGGCGTAACTGGCATCGGCCAGGAGACGCTGGGGGGGCTGCCTGGCGGCGGCGATGGGGGCTCACTCGCATCGCCTGGCGAGAGCGTCGTCAAATCGGCGGGCTCAAAGTAGCCTCCGCCATAGAGCCAGGTCAGGTCCGTCTGCGCGCTCGCCTCGCGGGCCACAGGAGCGTTGAGCCAGGTCTGCGCCGCCGAGACCTCCGCTGCAGGTGCCGCTGGTGGTGGGTCCGTAGGCTCGGACTGTGAGGACTGAGACGCCAGCTCTGACATGGGCTCATTGTCGGAGTCGAACTCGTCGACAGGCACCGGCAGCGTCGCGACGTCAACAGGGGCGGCGGAACCGCCGTCGCACTCGGGCGCCATCGCGCGGCAACGGCCAGGCGGCGCAGAGGCCGCGCAAGCCAGGGACGCCGCGGATTGCGATGCCCAGTCGCCTGCGAGCCCAAGCAGCAGCGGGAGGCGCCGCGCCACGGCTGCCAGCGGCTGCGCCAGACGGACGACGGCGACGACCTCCGACACAGCGAACGGCCCACACCGACGGACCGTTCACGACGAGCAGGCGCACGTGCGGAGCCACTGCGGACCAGGCCAGGACCGACCGCGAGCGACCAGGGGCGACCGATCGACCAGGGGCGACTGAGCGTTCTGGAACGCCCTGAGAGAAGGCCGCGACGCCCGATACATCCTCCAGAGCCGCCGGATCTAGGAGATTCTCGATTCATTGTCACCTGCGTTTGTCCTCGTCATGGCTTAGCGTTGCTTTCAGGGGCGGAGCGCCTGGAAGGAAAGAGAGGGAGGGACTAGAGCGGAGAGAAAACCAGGGGGCCAGGATAGGGAGGAGCGGCGCCGAGGCCTGAGTTGGCTGCTCCGCCTCCGGAGCCTCCTGCGCCGCCGGCGCCGCCGCCGGCGCCGCCGCCGGCGCCGCCGCCTGCGGCCGCCCGCCAAGCTCCGCGGCCATGGCCGAGGCCTCGCCGCCCGCTGGCGCCTCGCGGGAACGGGAAAGGGAAACCGATCCCCATCCCCAGCGGCGCGGCCTGGGCCCCACTGGCCGATTCAACCCCCTAGATCGGCATCGATGCAAACCGTTCCCTTCGGGCTGCGGCTCCGAGGGGTGCATCCACAACCAGGGGGGTGCAGTCAACCAGCGCAGTAAGGAAGGGCGAGTAAGGGCGCAAGGGCCTTGGGCGTCCATCGCGAAGTTTTTCTAGCGGGGCGCGGCCGGTGAAAGTGGCCGAGGATGGAGCGAGGAGGCAAGGGTGCAAGGGCACCCTTGGGAAGGTTTCCCATCCTTACTATTCGGGTTGACTGTTATTTGGTGATGGCCTCGAGGGGAGAGGGGATGGGCATGGGGATGGGCCGGGGGTCGGTCAAACGATACCGTGCTGAGTAAAGGCAGGGTGGGGAGCAGCTGTAGGCGGTTTCAGACACATGTATTTTCCCAGGGTCCAAACGCGCTGGTCGTTCGCGACGCGTCCAGCTGTCGCGACGAGGGGGGGCCGAAAAGACAGTCGGTGTCTCGAAAAGCCTCGCTCCAAGTCTCAGCTGCAATTGAGCAGGGACCGACCGTCCTGGCATATCATATCATATCCATATCTATGGGCCATGCCTATCACGAGATGTTCTCAGAACCCAAACATGTTCTGATAGATAGCCAAACAATGTTATTGTAACGTAATCCCGATGCGATAAAACAAAACATCCCCAACCAGAAATACTATAAGAACAATAGGCAAGCCAGGGCGCTTCGCCACAAGTCGACCTCCCTCGCCAGCGGCAGTGTCTTGGCCCTCCTGGCGAGCGGGCCGAGCCACATCTTCTCCTCGGACTCCTCGGCCTCGACCGCCGTCTGAGCCTCGACCACCGTCTGAGTCTCGGGCACCGTCGCGGTCTCGTTCTTCGCCACCTCCTCCTTCTCCTCGTCGACCGGGCCATTCTCCGCCGCCTTGTCCTCCTTGTCCTCTTCGTCCTCCATCGCCGCCTCTCCCTCGCCGAGGAACTCCTCTCCGTCGACCTCCGAGCCTGCGCCGTAGGGATCGACGTCGGGCTCCTCGGCGGCCGCGGGGGCGGCCGGCGCTTCGGGTGCCTCTGGCTGCGCGCCGACGGCCTCCGGCCGCGCGCCGCCCGGCCCATCGGCGCAAGCCTTGGGGCAGCTGCGGCAGCGACCGACCGCCCTGGCCGTCCTAGAGCCTATTAGGTGTTTGCCACTTGTGACATGTTGTTAGAACCCACGCATCATGTTACGGTTCTAAGAGCAAAACAATGTTTTTAGAACAAAAGCCCGATGTGTTAACACACGACGTCCCAGCCAGACATACACTACACACATTTAGTGAAACTCGCAAACAGTTCTTAGAACATTGTTTGGTAAGCTAGGCACGCCGGGACGCTTCGCCGCTGCCCGCCTGCCCCCCTGCCGTCGGCGCGCCCTCCGGCTCGGCCGCGCGCGCCGGCGCGACAGGCGGCGCCTGCTGCGGCGGCGGCGCCGCCGACGCCGCCGCCCGCGGCGCGCCCGCCGGGCGCCACGCAGGCCCCGCCTGGGCGGCGGCAGGCAGGAAGGGGCAGGGGGAGGAGGAGGAGGAGGAGGAGGAGGAGGAGAAGGAGGAGGAGGAGGAGGAGGAGGGAGGAGGAGGAGGAGGGGGAGGAGGAGGAGGAGGAGGAGGAGGTGGAGGAGAAGGAAGAGGAGGAGGAGGAGGAGGCGGAGGAGGAGGAGGAGGAGGAGAGGAGGGGGGAGGAGAGGGGGAGGAGAAAGGAAACAAGGAGAGAAGAGGAGAGGGGAGAGACAGGCGCGGGAACGAGGAAGCCAGAGGGCCGGGGAGAGGGAGGAGGGGGTGGGGAAGGGGAAGGGGGAACAGCAAAAGAGGGCTAGGAGGGCGAGGAGGAGGCGGGGGGGAGGGGGAGTCGGAGGGCGTCCTGCACCATGTCGCCGTGGGAATCCATGAAGGCCCTGACGAGCGGGTGGATCCGCAACACACCCACCTTGCTAGCCACCAAGCGCGCGCAGCGCACGATCACCTCCTCGCGAACCTCGCCCTGGCGAAGCGGACGCCACATCGCCAGCACCGCAGTGCCGCTCCCGGCGAGGAGTCCAGCCCGCTGAACGGCGTCGTTGCTGGCCGCTGGGTCGAACCCGAGAGCGCCCTCGCACAGGGCGCGCACGTCGCGGACAGCGGCGCTGTAGAACCACTTCATCTCGGCGAAGATGGCCCTCATGAGCGGCGCCGAGCACATCGCGACGACGTCGTCCTTCTTCTGGTAGAACTCGCCGGCGGTCTCCGACATGAGAGCTGCCAAACCCACCTGCTGCGCGGAGCGATCAGCGCCGAGGGCCACCCGGGCCACGAAGTCCACCACCGACTGCCGCAAACCAGCCTTGTCAGCGTCGTGCGCCCTCTTGCACTGAGTGACCAAATCGATCATCCTCGCGTGTAAATCTGACGATATCCCCGACCATGATTCAGCGAACTCCATGATCTGCTTGAGCGTCTCGCCCTGATACACCGCCGCCTCGAGATGCTTCATCATGCTCGTCAGGCCGTTCATTCTATCATCTTCTGACAGGTCGCTCTCGACGGCGGGCAAATTCTTGACGAGGTGGTGCCCGCTGGTCGGCTGCTGCTTGAACCGGGCAAGCAACGGCGCCCACGCCATCGCGTCGATTGAGACGCCGCGATGCTCGGGGTCGTCGAGGATCGAGGGCGAGGGGCAAACGAAGCCCCTGTAATGGGAGACGAACGTGGAGAGCACCTGGGACGCAAGAGCCGCGAAACAAAAACTCGGGGCGGATGGCCCCGCCCACCTCCTCGGGGGAGGGGGCGGTCGGGGAGGGGGGTAGGTGGGGGCGGTGGAGGATCTCGAGAAGTGGGAGGGAGGGAGGAGGAGGAGGGAAAGGGGGGGAGGGAGTCGGAGGAAGAGGGGGGGCTTTCGGCGGAGCTCCATCGCCATTCCCCCCCTCCGCCCCGCTCCCCCCCCCCCGCTTCCCCCTCCTCCTCTCCCAACCCCGCCTCTCTCCTTGCCCCTCGCGTCGGCTCCATGGAAAGTTTTGCCCAGAAAACGTTGGGCTCTCACCTCGACGACGTTGTCCGCGACTGCCACGTCGCCTGGGATCCAGATGCCAAGGAAGCGCTCGACGCACACCGGCCCCAAATCCCAGAGCTGCTTAGCCTGCGTCTTGAATTTGGCCATGACGCCGTCGTTGAAGATGTAGCAGTTGAGGCGCTTGCTGATGACAGCCCGGACCTTCGCCTCGAACTCCTTCGCGTTGTCGTCGGGGTTCTTCAGCATGGTGTGCTTATCGTCGTTCTCGTCGTCCAGCAGCTCAACCAGCTTCAACAAGACGGGGTCGCACAAGTCAAAGGGGGCATTGCCCAGCAACGCAGAGACCCCGGCGATCACGCAGCGGGTGTCGACGGAGATGGCCGCGCAGGTCGTGGTGAAGCCGTTGGTTTGCTCGGCGGTCGCGAACTTGGGGAATACAGTGTCGGCAATGTCTGGAAGGGCCTCCATCGTCGCATGCGTGCTTGCCAACTGCCACGCCGCTTGCCGCTGATCGTCGATCTTCAGAGTTCCCGATGCGTCGTTGCATATCTCATTGAGAAGAGGCAGCGCCGGCTTGAAGATTTTATCGATCACCGTTTGGATAGACCTGACGCCGTATGCCGACATAAAAGAAGCCCTGGCGTTCTCGAGGAAGTCGCTCACAGCAGCCAACTGCACCTCGTTGGCCGCCTTGAACCGATCGGTCATGACGCCCTGGAGCTTCGACAGATTCTCCTGCAGATTCTGAAGCACCGCGACTAGGTCGGAGTCGATGGTGACCTTGTCCTCGCAAAGGCCTCTGAGGGCGCCAACCTTGCCGACGTCCTGGGTGAGCTTGTCCAAGGTCAGGCGCAGGCCGCTCTCTGCCTTCACCGCCGCAAGCTCGTTGTCCACCTGTTTCATCAGCAGCAGGCCCGTATCGAATACCTTCATCGACCTGGCAAACTTCGACTGGTAGTCGCCGGCCTCCTTCGAGTACGCGTCCTTGATCTCCTCGATCTTATCCAACTCGTCCGCGGACGCCTGCTTCGCCAAGGCGAGGGCGACCCACCTGGAGAGGTCGCACCGGCAGCTCGACTCGGGCATGTTGGGCAATAACTTCACGACCTCCGTGGCGAACTTCGCACAGGCGTCAACCATGCCGCTGCCGCGGAGGAGCTTGATCACGGCGTCCACGAGGAAAGTCTCCTGGAACTTGATCGCATCGTCGGGGCTGATCTTTTCGAGGAGTACCTTGGGGAGCCCACTGTTGCTCGGCGAAAGGCGACTGACTGCGACTTCGTACTGGCCTTCGTTAAATGCACTCCAGACACTGTGTCCCCACACGACGCCAATCGTGATCATCGGTAAAGAAACCATTACCGTTGCCTTTTCCAGGGCGTCCATGATCTCAGAAGTGTCCACGACCTTCCTGGTCAAGGCTGTCGCGAGGGCCAAACAGACGGCCAGCTTGTCGTGGACGATGCGCATGTCCTCGTAGAGGTCCATGCCCGTCATGTCCACGCCGGCCATGGTGCTGGTGAAACGGCCTGCCACGACGTACACGTCCACGAACTTGGGGACCATGGCTTTCTTCAGCCCCTCCAGCGAGGTCTTCATGCGCTTCGGTCCGATCAACTCCTGCTGTCGCTGGAGGTGAGGGGCATAGATAGGGGGGGTAGGCATAGGGCATAGACATAGGGGGGCGCATCGACCTGGAATCGGCGGTACATTGTCGATTCGATAGATCGGCTATAGGCCCCCAGTAGTGAATCCGCGCCTTCCCGCGCGGGCTGGGGCTGTAGGCTATCGGCTATCGGGCCCCATTTGGCGATCAATGGACGATTCAGGGTCGGTGCATCCCCCTTATGCCGCATGTGCCTATCCCCCCCCATCGGTGCCCCCGAGGAGGTCGGGGGCGGGGGAGGTCGAGTCAAAGGAGGGAAGACGACGACGACTGTGTTGTGTCCTCGTTATCCACTGCCAGGTACCCGTTCAGTTCCTGCTTCGCCGCCAGGAGCGCCCGCTCCCCAGCGAGCAAGATCTTCAGGGTCTTCTGGTCTAGCGAACCCGTCGGGCCGGCGCCGCCGCTGGACAAGCCTCTGCCTCCGCCTCCGCCGCCTCCGTCGCCGCCCCCACCACTGGACCCACCTCGGCCTCCAGCGCCGCCCCCGGGCCCGCGACGCCCTCCGCCGCCGGCGGCGCTGGCTTTGCCAGCGGCGATGGGCAAACAACAATCATCGAATACCCAATCGAGGTCGTCGTCGTCGTCGTGCGAGCCGGCGGTCAGCGCCGAGTCCTTCATCGCCAGGAAGATCGGGGCATCCTTATCTTTCTGCGTGAGCTTGACGGCCATCTTACCCACTAGCATGTCGTAGAGCTCCTTGATTTGTTCATGGCCCCTGACTGCCCCATCAGAGTCGAGCTTCTTATTGTACTCGACACCCTGGGAATGCTTCTCCTTGAGCTTCCAGGTATTGAGGGGCCTGCCATGTTCCTTGCCCAGGATCACGCCCCTCATCTTCTTGTTGTTGATCGTCTTGGTCACGATGGCCTTCTTGTCGGGCTTGGTGCCCTTCTCCCTCAGGTACACCCACTCGGGCCAGAAGATGCCCAGGTTCTCCTCCGCGTCCAGCGAATGGGAGTCCTTCATGACGACCTCTGTCTTGAAGCCACCTGGTATGTCCGCGGAGAGCTTCACGATTGCCAGCTTCGGGTTGCGGTGCCTGTCCAGCCACAGAAACCAGAGCAACATGTACTTCTCGTAGAACTCAGGCTCCTGAGGCTCGCCATTCACGAACTTGCACCCATTCACCATGCGGTCGCGGTCGACGCCTTGCATAGCCCAATTCTGCATGTTGCGGCACACCAGGCACCCGAGCGCACCCTTGCGGCCGACCTCCAAGAACCTGGTGGCTCGGAAGGGGAGGGGGGCCGAGCCGACGACGAGAACGACGCGGCCTTCTCCTGGGCCCCTGGGGCCTGAGCGCCTCAGCGTTCCGAGCCGCGCCCAGCCGAGGGGCCCCCCGAGGGCCGAGAGGGCAACCGCGACGACGTCGAGGACGAAGACGACGGCGGCGACAACGGCACCACGACGCGACGACGAAGACAACGACGACAGTTGCGGTGTTGTTGTGGTTGGTGGTACTGTTGTTGCTGCTGCTGTTGTTGTTGGTGTTGTTGTTGTTTATTGTTGTTGTTGTTGTTGTTCTTTTTGTTGGTGTCGTTGTCGTTGTTGTTGTTGTTGCTGTTGATGTTGTTGTTGTTTGTCGTTGAGTCATCCCCTCAGGGAACGGATTTTTCCGATTCTGCATCGGGTTGGGCGTCTTGCGGTACTCGCAATGGCAGAAGGCACAGTCGCCCTCAGGCGGCTCCGGAAACTCGGGCGTGGCAATCGGCAGAGCCCACTCAGCCTTCTCCCTCAAGTAGGCAGCCAACCTGTCCTTGAGATTGGCCACGAAGTCCGGCGCCAAGACCATCGCCATGTTATTATGCCCTCCGCCCACCTGGGTCGCGATGTCGTCGCAGCCAATCCCATCGGCTTCAAGCTGATCCCCCAGCAGCTCAGTGAGACGACACCCCCCAGATCGGACGGATTGTCCGACGCTCCTGAGACTATGCGGCATGGACCTCGCGACCAGGCGGCAATCGGCCCGAGGCGGTGCAGGGTGTGGGGGGGGCAAGTTCGTTCAAGTCGGGCTAAGATGTGCAGCCTAAATCGGCTGCGGGCGAGAACGGGGCCAGTTGGGGAGGGGAAGCGCAGGAATGGCAGGGCGGGGCTGTCATCGCCCACTTTCCGCGAAGGATTTCAGCTAGCTAGGCCAGGAGCAAATTACCCCCCGTGGCCGCGGCGATCGGCGGATCAAACTCGGCCCCTGGACCCCGTGGCCCAAGTGCGCTAGCGTCCCGAGCCGCGCCTAGCCGCGGCGACGAGCGGAGTCTTCCGCTCGAGCAAGGACCCGCGCCCCCCGAACGAAATCGGATGGTGCAACGTGGCAGGGAGGAGGGGGATAAGATAGGGGAGGGGAGATGGGCCGGCCCAGAATGGGCGAGGGGGAGATTTAGTGGGAAGGCGGAGGACGAGGATGATTCAGGCACATATCCAATTTAGGTCCCTGCCCGCGCTGCCCTGTGACGCAGGCGCCCAATCCCTCGAGCGCTGGGTCCCTCGCTGCCAGGCAGCGGTCTAGAAGCGGGCGACGCGGGGGAAGCGCCCGCGGCGCCCCGCGGGTGATCAGCGGCGGGAACTAGCTGGCCCCCTGAGGGCCAAAATCCATTTCAATTGGGGCGTGGCCGAGACTCGAAACCGCACTGATCAGGGAAAACAAAACCACTCAAACACATGTGAAGGGAAAATTCACGACCGAAGCGTCGGGGGTTTCGGCCTCGCCTGCCCAACCTGGTCCAGCCTGGGGGGGTTCCAAAAGGTGTTTTCGGTGAGGGGGTTTTCAGGGGCGGCCATGCGCCTCGGAACCTCGTTCGAACAAATGGGTGCGAAGCCCCTGGGGGGGCCATCCTGGAAAACCGCCCCCCAACAAAAAGATCATTTGGAACCCGCGGGCAACAGCTCGCGCCACCGCCGCTCCAGGGGGCTGCAGCGGGGACGACGGCGCAAAAAAAAACAAAAGCGCTCTAGACGGCCTGCCCCATGTCCTGCCAGGGCGCGACCTGGTCGCCAGCGTGCCAGGGAGCTACCACAGGTCGTCGAGGTCGTCGTCCTTGCTCTGCAGCAAGGGGCTCTGAAGCGTGACAGCGCCAGACTGATCTGGCACGAACCTCACGCCACGATGCCGAAGGTATGCGACGCCAAGTGTGGTCATGGACGCGATCATCGTTGCGGCGGCGACGCCGCTGTGGAAGGCGTCCCCGGCCAACTTGGTGAGCGCGTCGGAACTGTGAGCCGCGGCCTTCGCGTGGCGCTCCTGGTAGTGAATGCCCTGGAAGGCGAGGGCCTCAATGCCATGCATGAAACGCGCACGGTCGCTGATCCACACCTCCTGTCGGGGCGTCGCACATGCCAGGATGCTGTCGCCAGACGACGTACACTCCTTCGCTCGACCAAGGCTCTGGGAAAGATCGATGAGCCTGCAATCAGTGGTGACGGGGAACTGGCTGGGGCCCGCTGCCAGGAGCAAGACATCCAGCTGCCGCTTGACCATCGCGCGATAGCCTGGAAACTGGGCAGCTGCCTCCAGCTGATCTTGAGTCAACGTCGACGCGTGGATCTTGGCCGCAAACGCGTCGGCATGCTTCCGTCTCCACTTCGACGACCTAGAGGCCTCGACGTCGTCATCTGCGGCCGTCTCCCATGGAAATGGTCGATCGCTGGCCTTGGAGATCATGTCCGTGACGAGGTCGTGGGAATCTGGAAGTAGGAGCACGTGTCCAGGCACCATGCTGTGATCACCGAAGCGGCGCAGCAAGTTGCCGATCCAGTTGTAGGCCTCGCGCTCGGTCAGGCCGATGTCCGCCATCAGTGTCGAGCGAAACCCTGGTATCCAGAAGCGGGCCCTGCTCTGTGGGGAACCGTGCAAGCGAGGGTCCTGGAGCGTGGCGACGCAGAAGTACCCAGCCTGCTTCATGTCACACAAGACCTGGGCCAAGTTGGACTCGTGGATCGTCAACTTGTGCTTGTTGCCCTCAGTGTCCTTGACGACCGGCGGGTTGCCCAGCCCCTTGACGTTCTCGAGCAAGACCATGTTGCACGGCTTGCGGTGCGCATTAGGGCCGCCAGCCCCTGGTTCAGCCCGCTGCTTCAAGATGTCGTAGATGCCCCCGAAAGCCGATCCCGTCGCCGCCCCCCTCTTTTTGACCACGTCACAGTACTGCTGCATGTACATGTTCATGAAAGAGGCTTGTGCAGGGGAAGCCGGCAATCAAAGTGTCGAAGTCTGGAACTTTAACATCAGGGACGTTGTGATCACCAGCGGCGCAGTTCGGAACATCGCCTGAGGACAAGTCACACACGTCAGAGAACAGCACGGGCACGTCGAACATTGTCCGAATGAATGCGCGAGTGTCCTTGTTCTTCTCGCAGCTGAAGACGTGGTCGACTGACATTTGGCCGCCGCTCTGGAGCCCCAAGGCTTCGTGGGCGCCGATCACGCCGGCGTCCTTGAGATGCTGGATGGACGGGCCAAGCACGTCGCAGCACACGCACGTGATCTGCTTGGCGACCAGCACAGCGACGTCCGATCCCGAACACGCCGTGCCTAGCTTCAACGGGCCATTCAAGCACCAGAACATCACAAGCGACATTCTCTCGCACTCAGAGAGGCGCTCGATGATGTCGCGAATGAGCTGGTCCAGGTACGTGTCTGGCTGCTGGAGCCTCGGATGGGCGGCGACAGTGCTGTAGTAGGGTGGTCGCAGCAGATCGTGCACTGGGAAGTCACGCAGCGGCGATGGGACTGACGGCGGAAGCCCAGCCAACTTCAGCGTGGCCTGAGAGTCAGCCTCCTCGTCCTCAACCTCCTCCTCGGCCTCCTCCGCGGCCTCCTCGTCGGCGTCGTCGGCGTCCTCCGCGGCCTCGTCGTCGCCGAACAGCTCGCTCGCCAACTTCGCATCCGCTGGGGTCAGGCCGTCGTCGTCCGCTGCGGCCGGGCGCTTGCGGGCGGCGCCCCGCCGCACGGCTGGCCTCCGGCGAACTGGCGGCTCAGCGGGTGGATCATGCACCTCGACGGCCGCGCTGGGGGGCGCGCCGTCCTCGGGGTCCTCTGGGAAAACGAACGCCTCCGCCCGTCAAAAGAGGGGGGGGCCCCCAGTGCAACCGAAGCAATCCTCCAAGAGGGGGGAGGAGGGAGGGGGGGAGGAGGGAGGAGGGAGGAGGAGGAGGGATGAGGAGGAGGAGGGGGGAGGAGGAGGAGAGGAGGGGAGAGGAAGGAGGGGAGGAGGGGGGAGAGGGAGGAGGGAGTGGGAGGAGAGGAGGAGGATGGAGGAGGAGGAGGGGAGGAGGAGGAGGGAGGAGGAGGAGGAGGAGGGAGGAGGAGGAGGAGGAAGGGGGGAGGAGGAGGAGAGGGGGGAGGAGGAGAGGGGAGAGGAGGGAGGAGGATCGGGAAGGAAGGAGGAACCCCAGGTGGCCCCGAGAGCGATGGTCAGATGTGGCACGGGCGCCACGTCTGGCCCGCGTCGGGCCTACTGCGGGTGGTGGTGGGGGGGCAGGGGCTACAAGCGCCCGTGGGGCATCTGGGCTGGGAGTGAAGTGGGGCGAACGTGAAACGTACCAGACAGGCCGAGCTGCCGCGTGGTCCTCCTCCTCATCCTCATCATTCTCCCCCTCCTCCTCGTCAATCCTCTTTTCTTCCTCTTCCGCCTCCTCCTCCGTCCTCACACAATCCTCCTCATACTTTGGGTCCTTTCCCCTCCTCCTCATCTTCCTCCTCCTCCTCCTCCTCCTCCTCCTCCTCCTCCCCCTCCTCCTCCTCCTCCTCATCCTCATCCTCATCCTCCTCCTCCCTCGTCCAGGGCCATCTTGGAACGTCTGGAAATTCCCGTGGACATCCAGAGCACGTTCTGTTTCGCGGAAATCATGGGCCAGACCTCGAACACCAATCCCGGCCCTGGGGGCGCATGCCAGAAGCTCCAGGAAGGCCTGCGTTAGGGCCCCGCATGTCCGACGACGTCGCAGAATCAGCCATCCGCGGGGAGCGCCGGAGCGCGGCGTCATCATCATACCCAGGCGGCGACGCTTTCTGCGCGGCGGCCTGCTCCTCCTCCCGGGACTCCTCGCACCCTGTCGCCGCTGGCCTCCGCTGGCGCGGGCGGCCGCCGCCGCGACCTGAAGCCTTGGCCGTGGCCTGGGCCTTGGTCGTGGTGCCCTTTGCCCTGGCACGCTTGGGGGGCATTGTGGCGGCTGGCTGGGGGGGGCGGGAAGGTTTCGCGCCGGGTAGAGATCAGAGCCTCAGCGCTAGGTCACGGGCCCCCGGTGCGAATGCCCCCTGGAGCGACTGGTCTCGATCGAATGCGCCACCCGCCCTCCACCCGCACAGTCCTTCCTCGTCCCCGCCGCCCCCCCCCCAAACGCGCCTCCCCCTCCATCCGCCATCCATCCACACATCGCCCCTCCAGCTCTCAGTCAATCGAGCGTCAGTCGGCCGTCGGTCGGCCGCCAACCGAGTGGAATTCGAGCGTCGGTCGACCGCCAGTTGGCTGTCACTGGGGGGTCAGTCGGATGTCAATCGGTTGTAAGTCGGCTGACAGTGGGTTGTCACTCGGTTGTCAGTCGGTTGTCAGTTGGTTGTCAGTCAGTTGTCAAGGGGTTGTCAATCGGTTGGCAATCGGGTGTCAGTCGGTTGTCGGTCGGTTGTCAGTGGGTCCCCCGGGGGTTGTCAGTGGCCCTCCTAGGGGCTGGTCCATGGGGGTTGCCAGCGCCCCCCTGGAGGTTGTCAGTGGCCCCCCTGGGATCCCTGGGGGGGTGTCAGTGTCCCCCCCTGGGACGTTGTCAGTGGCCCCCCTGGGGGTTGTCAGTGGCCCCCCTGGG